AACACCAGTGAAAAATATATTTCACGACTACTACATATCACCGGGAATATCGCGTTTTTCACAGAGTATTACGTCACTTCACGTAAAACGGGTGAAACTTTATTGACGTACACATGAGAATTTCATCAACCACGTAAATTCAATATTCCATACAGGGGATCATCCAGGAACCAATAATTTTCCCAGGGGGGGGACTCATTTTGAATTTTCCACGTATGGCTAGGTACACATTCTTCAATTAGTTTCCCGTGTAAATGTCATCACCACATTAGTAATATTTCCCCATTGTTATCAAATACTAGAGCACGTTATCTCTCAAAGCTGTCGCTGGTCCCATATCGCAGCGACCAAACGCAGGAGATTTCAACTTCAATGTTACCTGCCGCACTGCTGAGTGCCTTCCTCACAAGCTTTTCATCATCGCCGTTTTGAACGACTTTCTGTCCGACAGCCAATGCGAGCGCTTCCGGCCAGGCTCGCCATTGAAACGGAAGATCCTGATGGTGCGAGAAATATTGCACACGCTCAACTACGTGTGTTGCGGACAATATGAAATTCTGAAAAAAAATTCGGGAAATTATTTTCGAGGCAGTGAGGGGAGCGGGGGGAATCCAGTTGTGAAAAACTACAGTGGGACTCGCATAGCCAGATCAACGTCAATCCTCAGAGCCTAAGGTGCAAGAGGCAGAACATTTATATACTTCCGCGTGTAAGTTTCCATAATATAGTGGAGTTTCACCCGTTTTACGTGGAGTTGCGTAATACTCTGTGAAAAATGCGATATTCGCAGTGATATGTTTTTCACTAGTGTTATTCATATCACTAGGGTTGAAACTCCAATGAAGAAAAGCAAACATATATTCCAACACTGTTACGAACCAGCCAGTAACTTCCCCCTCACATGGTCAACGATAGTATCAGCGATTTCCATGACGGTCTTCTCCTCCGCCGATGCTACGATAGCGCCGATATTGGGACTCTGGAAAAAAACACAAGTTGGTGAAATTGCGAGTTCGCTTTCCTCACATTACATAGAAATTAGCCTACGAATTCGGGTAGAAGTGTACAGAACCCAACGAGAGCTTCCCAAAAAAATTCCTCAGAATTTCCATATTGGCATCAACACATAGTAGAGCTCGTGCGTAGATATACATATGGTCAACTACATATTCTTGATAATCTTGGTTTCTGTACACTTCTACCAAAATTCGTCACAACGTAGTGAGATGAGCTGAGGAAACCAACCATATGCCCCGATGATATAAAATCTCCTCGTAAAAAGCCGAATTTTTCCAACCCCCTTACAAGATCGTTTTTCCAGATCAGTTCCGACGTGCCAGTTTCCCAGTGGCGCTGGAGTTTACGCAAACATTTCCGCATCGTTTTGTCATCATATCGAAACGAAGAGAGGGAGGCGAGCACTTCCACCTGCAAGGAGCTGCCATCGGCAACACGACTTTTAAGCCTACCAACAGTGAGTCGACTGAGTGACCCAATTTGACGGTTTTTTCATCAGAAACAACATCCTCTGTTGGCAGTTTCCACCCGTCCAACCTTTGACGCGTAGCAGTGAGAGCTACGGCTAGAGGCTCGCATGTAGTCTCAGGCATATCATCTACGAGCTGACGCACGAGTGCTACTTGGTGCTCCAACGGTCGAAGACCTTCTAATACCGCACCTGACCGAACACCAAGAACATCCCGACAAGGCCCTGTATAGAAAGTATGTATATGTGCAATGTGTGCCAATTTTAATGTGTGTTATTCTCCGAGATTAAACTATACCGCATAAACAATGTTAACATTGCTATGAACATGTGATGTGATAAAAGTAACCTTTCGAGACTGTGATAGCGACAAGTTGTTCACTATCATTAATCCCGGAATAGAAAAAACGACGCACATTCTCCACATTTGCATATCAAATTGGCACTATATATATATGATATATCATGAACATGTTTATGTTAC